CTTTACCAGGAATCTAACCAGCAACCTTTCGGTTATGGGAGGACACTCCAACCAACTGCACCACATCGGCCAGGGCAGAGAGCTCTCACTTTTAACCATTATGCCAGCTTTTCCTGGACTTCCAGGAATCACAGACCACCTTCCACATCTGCCATATCGACCCATATAAAATTTGCATTATTACTTTCAAATGGTTTGCTTTAAATCAGCTCACTTTACTCCGTATAATAAGGATCTTTGTTTAGATATTAATGTGAATACTATTAAAATAATCTCACCAGTCCACCAGTAATATGCATATGTGGTTGCAAGAAATGTTGCACTCTGCTAAACTATCCCCTAAAAACATTTCCCCTACCCTCCTTGCGGTCCCACAAGAGAAGCGCTCATTCTGCACATTCATACGCCAGTCAAAAAGCCCAACACCCTGGGCAGGAATATTCTTTATAACATCCCAACAGTCTCTGCTAGAGGCGTGGGCTGCTCATGAATTCACTTCCTCATAAACCAGCTCAGTCCACTGCTGTCCTCAAAGGTAGAGACCACAGTTTACCCATTTTGTGCTTCAGCTCAACACCTGGAGGTAAACATTTTACCTCTTACTAGGAATCTGTTGAATGCACTAATCAACAAGTGGAATTAAAAAGCTGTTACAATCCACTTATTAAGTAGGGCAATTAAGAGCTCTGACAATAAACAGGCTAGGCTTGACCTTCAGTTCTAACACCTCGGTGCTTCCTTACAGTGTCTTGAAAGCCTATGCTACTTCCTGTTCCACCGTGAGCCCTCTTCTCTGCCCATTCCCACTTTTGGCTGTAGCTGCACCGAATTCAGACTTCCTTGACTCACACCAGGTGATTTGGGAGGTGAGGGTGGCTTTACTACAGGTTCTCTTATTACTTTCCTCTTCCAAGTCTTGAAAATCTTAATCCCTGTACCTGGCTTCCCCTTTTACTATATCTAGCCCCCTCCTGCCTTTTGCTTAAGCAAATGAACTCAGAAACTCAGAGACAATGTAAAGCAGAGAGGCAGAAACTATTAGTCCTCTTAACATTTACCTTCTCTTAGCTCTGTTTCCCATCTGCACAGTAATGTTATCACAAGAGCAGTTAATCTTTATGGAATGTTTTCTATGTACTTAGCAGTGTGGTAAGCACTTCACATGTGTTAACTCATAATGGGAATAACAAAGCCTACATCTGACAAGGTTATTCTGAGTACGAAGTCATATAATGAAGGTGAATGTGCTTTGCAGACTATTTCTACAAAATGTCAGGGGTGACTTTTTTCTGGCTAACCTAGAGCCTGCACGGGTATGAAGTGTCAGTCAGCACCTGCCTACCAGGTGAATGCTCCCTATCATTCCCCACCCAGCACTCCAGACTTTTACTTTGGAGCACTCGCAATTATTTTACGGAAGTAATTATTTCTGTGATTAAAGTTTAGTCTCCCTGACTCGAAGGGAGACAAATCTTTTTCAAAACTGTATCTCCAGACGCTATGGAGTGAGTGTTCAGTTAACAATTGTTAAAATCAGTGAATTAAACGGCCTTACAATGGAATAAGTGATATGGAATCATCTCCAAAATACACTGATAAGAAAAGCAAGTAGCAGCCACTTGTGTTAAAGGAAAAAAAAAAAAGATTCATACACGTGTACAACATACGCCTGTTCAGACTCTGTATTGCGGGAGGGTAACCATGGTTGCCTTTGGATAACACAGTGGCAGGGACACTGATTTTTAGACCCTTTGGTACGGTTTGAAAAAAAATTATTTTCAAGTAGGTTTACAGTTGTTCGTATGGACAATAATACAATAATTAGTAAATAATAACACAAGAATGAACTGTGTTTCGTGTACTCCCAACTGCAAACCTACTTTTGCCCCGCCCTGTATTAACCACTCATAAACAAACTCACTTTTGAAATTGTTCAACCTTCAAAAACAAAAATGAACGCAACTAATCCCAGTCCTCCAATTTGTCACCTGAGTCCCTCCAATTTCCTTTCCCGCTGCCGCAGCATAAGTCTGCCTTCCAGCCGAGCGAGCGGCTCTCCTCACCGCCCTAAGCACGTGATGTTACCACCTGCACGCACTTACACCATTTCTCCCGCTGGGATGGGAAGTGTCCTGTGAGAGGCAGGATGGTCCCCCAGAGATGCCCACTGCCTGAACTCTAGGGCCTGCGAACATGATACGTTACATGGCAAAGGGAAATTAAGATTGCAGATGGAATTAAGGTGGTTCATTAGCAGACTTTTTTAAAAAGGGAAATTATCCTACACTGTCTGGGTGGGCGCAGGATAATCACAGGGCCCTAAAAGCAGAAGAGGGGAGCCCGAGAGGGAGATAGGATGACAAAAACAAGGTGAGGGTGACACGATGTGAGGACTGAACCAGCCATTGCTGGCTTTGAGGATGGAAGAGGAAGGGGACCGTGAGCCAAGGAGGTGGGCAGACGCTAGAAGCTGGAAAAGACAAGGAAACGGCTTCTTCTCTAGGTTCTCCAGAAACGTAGCCCTGCTTGACAGCTAGACTTTAACCCAGGCAGACCTGTGTCTGACTTCTACAGTTCTCTTAAGATAATCTGTGTTTAAGTCACTACATTTGTGGTAATTTGTTAGGGCACCATATAGAAAATGGATTTTCTCTCTTGTGAGTCCCTACAACAGCTATTTCCCTGAATCATGTTTAGCGCTTGATGACTCATTCATTCAAAAATTACTTAAGGTCTGCTACGGGCCAAGACCTGTGCTCAGACCTGGGAATGACGTGTCTGAGAGGTGCTTAGATTCACATGTGAGCTGTTCAGACTTGATCCGCTGCAGCAGTGCTAATTGGTGAGAACACAAAAAACCTTAAGCCCCAGTCCCTTCCAGGAAGAGCTCAGCCAACCTGTGGAAACCCTTGAAAAGTGTATTCCAAAACAAAATATTTGCTATAACAGGAGTTAACAGGTGCTGTCAGAACACAGGCGAGCATCTAACCTAATCATTGGGGAGTTAGAGCCTTGCTGGAAAACGTGCTGAACTATGAAGGAAAAGTCATAATGAGCTAAAACAGAGTTTCCCCTGACAGGTCCAAAAGGACATCAGCTTGCACAAGAATATTTAAACAGTTATATATAAATATAGCCCATTTGGGGGGTCACTATACTGTTACCTCTTATATATTATTGCTTAGACTGGCGCTAAAACAGCTTCCTTTAAATATTAAAACTAAATTTAAAGAAAACTTGTTAAATAAATTGTAGTTCAGGATATACAGTACTGAGATGATAGTGCACAAAATTACTAACATTAGAGGAAAAGTGATGGGCAAGGTTATTCTCACCACTGGACATGGTAAGTGTAAGAACCAAGAAGCCTGGGTTTGGGACAGGGGCTGAGCACGGAGTGGACTCGATACGGATGGACACACGGCACGAGATGGAGAGGTCAGAGGGTCAGGTGGTCTGGTGAGCCAGGTTCAAGGTCTTAGACTTCACCCTGAGGGCAATGGAGGCCACTGCATTTATCTGCCCTAGACTGTAAGCATCTCGAGAGCAGGACATTTTTTGTATTATTCTCACTGCTCAGAAAGATGCTACTGGCATAGGATCAAGTCCAAACACCTCAGACTGGTACCTAAAGACTTATCAGATAGATGGCAGCTGACTTCATCTCCTGCCAAGCATGGCATCCCACCCTATTTCTTAAACATGCCACCTTCTTTCACATTCCTGTACCTTGCTTCATAGTTCCTTCTGCACAGCAACTTCTGGTCAAACTCCTCCATGCGACTCAATCGTTAACCACTGAACTCCTATTCTAGCCCTTTGCATTCATTCACCACCCAGTAGAAACCATTACTTCCAGCACGAAGGCTTCCTCCGCTTCCGAGGCGTTTGTCGCTTCCTTTGCACATCGCTTTTAAAGCATTGATCACACACCACTCACTTTACTGGAGTTCAAATATATCCCATCTTAAGCTTTTTGAGGGTAGGCTGGTTTCTTATTCATCTTTATGTTATCTGGACCCAGCATGGCACTGGACTTCAGAGCAGCGGAAAGAACATAGCCTGCCTTCCTAGATGGGAGCCTTGGCCAAACATCTCAACCCAGGTCTCCGATGTACTTTGACCCTCAGAGTCGGCCCACATAGTGTATGTTCAAATTTGAATTGATTTTCAATTTGTAAAAAGTGAGCAATTTCACATAGAGCCTGGACTTCTGACTCGTCTTGTCTCAAATTCTGGCAACACTGGGTCTTTATCTTCACACGGCAGCCATCAGCGGGAGCTGGTTCAACAGGGCCTGCTCGCACGTTAGCCCCTTCACGCTTCTGATGTCCCTAGCACAAAGGCCTGGTGTCGGTTGCTAATTTCATCGCTTTTTCTTATAGTAACGTTAGAAGTACATTTTCTCACACTGGGTTGTTTCACCTGAGCCCTGAAATGCATCTGTCAAATGGGAGAAATTACATTTAACTCTAATTGTCAACGCATGCACAGATTAGAGGACGCTGCTTAAGACATGGAAAGTGTCTGAAAAACGGCTGTTCATCTCAGGAGCTCAAGAGCTATTTAAAAACGGCCACATCATGAATGAACGAATGAACCGAACTAACCAACAGTTGACCTCATTACTGCTTTGTAAAGAGATTGATGAAGGAAATTATCCCCAATGTATTTTTTTTACCTATTTGTGAAGGGCATGCTTTTGTGTGTGGTATACTGCATGTGCTCAGAAAATGGGACAAATTGCACTTACTATTAATTTCAGGAAAGCTGTGAATGAAGGACAGTGAGTGAGGGAAGGTGGTGAAGTGGGAGGTCAAAAACCGATGCTTGTGGAGGTTTGGCTCTCTTTTCACCGGGCACCCAGTAGGTGCTTAACGAGTGCCTGTTGAATGCTTTCAGAAACAAGGGCCCAACTGCACTCCCTCCTCCTCCAGGCCGCCCTCCAGGGGACTGTCCAGCCTCCCCACCCTCCTGCCCCGTCCCCACCCCGCCCTTACAGGATGTCCTCACGGATAGAGGTGCCATGGTTGAGGTTGTGGAAGCGGACAGAGACGCGGTCCCTGAGAATGAAGGAGCACCTGTTCTCCTTTTTGTAGACGCTGAAGCACTTCTTGAAATCCTCGTAGGTCTTGAAGCAGCTGCCCAGCTCCATGGCTACCCGCTCAACCTACTCCAGGGGCTGGCCCTAAGATTAAATACCAGGGTTAGAGGTCACACTGTGAGGGTCTAGAGGCTAGCGTAGACCCAAACGCCTTCAAGGTCGGCCCCTATTGGGTGGCCTGCAATGGAGCTCAGGAGCAGCCCAAGTGTGAGCCGGTTAAATGGGTTGGGGGCATCTTTGCTTTCTGACAGAGGGGAAATGACGTTAAGCCCTTATTAGCAAGAGCCTGGGCTCCGCCCCCTCACAAGTCTCATCCAGTCACACACGCGATTCCCGGACTGATATTCATTTTCTCCAATCCTAGAGAAAGGTAGCCACACACCCGAAGACTGACAGAGATACTGGCCAATCATAATTTGCAACCCCCTTATTCTCAGGGCTCTCAGACTTCCTTTTACTAGAACCAGCTGCGTGAAGCCGCGAACTCCTCGCTGGTTTGCGCGAGTCCGACTCAGCGCAGTGTCTTGGGCCGGCAGCAAGTGATCGACATGACCTCCCCGCAGGCCCCGGAGGATGGGCAGGGCGGCGACGATCCCCCTAGGGACCTCCGCAGCGTCCTGGTCACCAGCGTGCTCAGCCTGGAGCCGCTGGACGAAGATCTCTTCAGGTAGCCGGCCGCTTGTGGCGCGCACCCCCCATTAGGGCAGAGGCTCCTGGTCGCCGCTGCCGCCACCCTGTAGCCTCCTGCTCATAGTCTTCTGGAAGAGGATGGGCTCTGCGCCGGAGGCAGGCTCTGCCGCGATCGGGAGATTACTTGTGCCTGACAGAGCTGTCCTCGCTGCCCGGGCCTCCTACTCCACCCCGGTTTTGCGCTGCACCACCCCTAGGATGCCCTGGCAGTCTGGGCAAATAAAGTGGTGACCTGAGATATCCTTCTCAGCAGCTAGCTTCCCATGTCCCTGGGAACTAGACTCAAAAGAGCTGCGATTAGTCCAAGGACATACAGCTAATCAGGTTTAAAACGTAACCTCAGTTCCTTGCACATTCACTACCCTTTTCCTCTTACATACCCCATCCACCCCACCACTTCTTGAGGTGTGGTAGCTCCTTCCTGATTCCGAAGCCTGAGCCATTTTCTTTCCCTGAGCCACTTAAATTGATGACTGCAGCTGGGGATTTAACAGTTTTGGCTTTCAAAGCTTCTACTGGCTTATTGGGAGCTATTTTGAGCATTAACTTTCTCTTCCTCCTATTTGAGGAATCACAAGTAACTTCCTGGAGAGCTGTTTACAAAAGTATTATATAAAATTGCTAAACTTGGGTGTGGCCTTGGAAAGCTGGAGACCCAAACCCTTCAGCCTCCACTAGGTTCATGCCCTGGGCAATCCCTTTTCACCTTGGGCCTTGGTTTTCTCATCTGCATCCGGAAGGGGTTAAACTTGGAGTCTGAGGGCGCTTGGAGTTCTAAATCTAGTTCTTGGGGGATCAAAGTTGAGGGGTGTAAGTGGCAAGCCGTAATGCAGTCCATTTTAGTTCTTGGGATTCATCTTAGTCCACTCGAGGCCATGAGAGGCTTCTGCCCTGGTGTGGGAGTGAAAGAAATACCAGACTCGGAGTCAAAGGACCCAGATACTGCTAAGTATTAGCATTGTGTGACTTTGCTAAAGCCACTTCCCCTCTTTGATCCCTGCTCTCTTAGTATAAACTATGGGGGTTGGTTTCTTATCCTAAACCAAAGCCCACAGAAGGGTTTGGGCGAGCCTGAAGGCCTTGAAGATGTATGCTGGAAGGGTCCAGGGCTTTTACCAGATTCTCAAAAGGATCCCAAACTCTAGTGAAGGTAGGAGATTTGCACTGATGGTCATAGGATTTGGTCCAGCCCTGACGTCTTTCCTGCTTTCCCTTTCTTCCCGCAGAGGAAGGCATTACTGGGTACCCGCAACCAAGCGGCTGTTTGGGGGTCAGATCGTGGGCCAGGCCCTGGTGGCTGCAGCCAAGTCTGTGGATGAAGATGTTCATGTGCACTCCCTGCACTGCTATTTTGTACGGGCAGGTAAGCCACTCCCTCCTTGCCCCCGACCCAACTGTGGTGGCCCAGCAGGCACTTCTTGGTCTTGGGGGCCTGACTTAGGAGAGGGAGGAGGACGGGGAGAAGGCAGTGTGGGAGAGAGAAAGAGAGTTAGTTGGTCTCTACCCACAGGGAAGCCTGGTGGGGCCCAGAAGAGCTTTAGACCTCACATCTGCTTGTTATCTGGGCCCAAGTGACACAAGACTTTGGCTGAACTATTCCCTGGGGGTCTTTAGTTCTTCATTCTTTACACACCTCCTAGTGCCAAATACTGTGCTGGAGTTCTCAGAGTGGTGCTGTAACCTCTGCTAGGAGTTTGGAGGTAGGCAGCTTGCTTCGGGGAAGAGAGCACCAGCCAGGGAATCAAGAGACAGTGGGCCTAGTTTCAGTACTAATTCACTGTGCCGCCTTGAGTGAGGTGGCCTGGTTCGTTCATTCCACCTGAGAAGTGGGGGAGGGCGGGACCAAGGGTGTTTTAGTGAAATGATCTCTACAACTGCTTACAGCTTAAAGGAGCAAGAGAGTAATCTTTCAAAACCCACGCTCTCTTTTGAGAAACAAAAATCTCACTGGCTTCCCTCTTCCCCTCATTCCTAAGGCAGATGCCCCCCAGTTTTAGGAGTCACTGTCTTCTGCATAGCCCCATCAGCTGAGAAGACTATATGGAACTTAACAATATGTGATTCATATTAAGAAAACAATAATAGGCCCTGGCTGGTGTGGCTCAGTGGATTGAGTGCTGGCCTGCGAACCAAAGGGACATCGGTTCGATTCCCAGTCAGGGCACATGCCTGGGTTGCAGGCCAGGTCCCCAGTAGGGGGTGTTCCAGAGGTAACCACACATTGATGTTTCTCTCCCCTCTCTCTAAAAATAAAGAAATAAAACCTTTTCTTAAAAAATAAAACAATAATAGGGTTTCCCTCTTCATTTTACAAATATAAAATAGTTATAATAGCAAATGCGATATGTATACGTTTTCATAGTACATCCCCACCCCCCCCCACTCCCCTTCCTTTCATAGCTGGACCCTCCCTACAGTCATTGCTATAAAGTATTTGAATACTGACCCTGCATTCTTAGGCCAGTTGGGAATAAAAATGTCCTCTATTTCTTCAATTTGGCTGTAAACTCCAAAAATGCTGGCCTTTTGATCCTGTACTCCTTCTAGCATTGTGAGATTATTTGTTTTGTTTTGTTTTGAGGGTGTAGGGGCATTACCCGATTGGTTTCTTCATCTTGTTCCTAAAATAATTCTATGAATCTTTACAGCTAAAGTATAAAGTAAAGTATCCTTGCAGGATCCAGCATGTTTGCTGGTTTTCCATAAATGGTAACATTATTTTTTGATGCTGAATTTATGGGAATGATTAAAATTTGCCTGGTACAGAACACGGCCATGTATGGTACCTTGTTTCGTCCTCATAAGTAAACACAAGGGGTGGAGATTCCTGCCACCACTCTGCTTACATGGAGACTGGCACCCAGAGACGTTAGTGCTTAGATTGGCAGAGCCAGGATTTGAACCTGAATTTGTATGACTCTGAGCTCCACATTCTCCCCTCCTCTTGTGCCTTTCTCTTTCATTTTGAGAGATCATTACAAACCATGGGAGAGCTGCCAGAATGTCCTTCCCAGATTCTGGGGGAAGGTTCCTCTTCCTTGGAAATTTTCCTCTAGGGGCAGCATGAAACGAGCCTGCTTATGCTACTGTTTTAAAATAATCATCAATTAGTTACGTTCCTACCTGGCTTGAAAGGCTTCCCGACAGCATCAAGTAATTGGTTGCTGTTATAGGACTATTACAATAAAAGTCAAGGGACGAGAGTCTAGTAGTATCAGGAGATTTGGGAAATAATTCTGTCACAACCTAGACTAAGGCATATTGTTGCAGTTTTACACAAAAGTTCTGAGCTTCCTGGCACCAATGCAAAAAGGGAAACTCTCTTGCTAATGTTAACCTAAAAATAAAAAGGCATTTCAAATTCGAGGCAACAAGCATTTCTTTGACATCGAAAGAAAAGCTATTCCAGAAGCACTGATTCAGGCAGAAACCCAAATAGTGTTCCAGTTAGAAGACAAAGCAAGGGGTATTTATGAGAAAGGGAAGGGGAACAGTTACATCAATAGAAGGGAGCATTTCTGTTGGTACAGATAACATAGTGATGTTCACTCTAAGCAATGTTTTTAAATTTCAGTCCAGTAGTCACCAGTCTGGTCGTTATCATCTGTTTTCTTGTTATCTTTGCAAACAGTTTATTGGGCACCAGCTTGCTTTAGGCCCAGTCCAAAGGTTATTTTTCCTCCCTCCCTCCCCACCTCCTCTCTCTCTCTCTTTCTTTCTTTTTCTTTCTCTCTCTTTCTTTCTTTCTTTCTTTCTTTCTTTCTTTCTTTCTTTCTTTCTTTCTTTCTTTCTTTCAATGAAGATTTTATTCATGTATTTTCAGAGAGAGGGGAAGGGAGGGAGAAAGAAAGGGAGAGAAACATTAATGTGAGAGAGAAATGCCACACCTCCAGCCAGGTACCCGGCCCCAAACCCAGGCATGTCCCCTGACGGGGAATCACACCAGCAGCCTTTCAGTTCACAGGCTCGTGCTCAATCCCCTGATCCACACCAGCCAGGGCTTTTCTTTCTTTTTTAAAAGAATTGATTTAAGGGAGAGAAAGAGAGAGACAGAAACAGAAACATCGATTTGTTGTTTCATTTATTGATGCATTCGTTGGTTGCTTCTTGTATGTACCCTGACTAGAGATCAAACCCCCAACCTTGGCATTTGGGGATGACGCTTTAACCAACTGAACTGCCTGGCCAGGGCTGTTTTGCCCTTTTTTGTGTGTGTTTTTTTTTTAATTTCTTTAACTTTTATTTTTATTTTTTAAAAAAGATTTTATTTTTAGAAAGGGGAAGGGAGGGAGAAAGAGAGGAAGAGAAACTTCCATGTGTGGTTGCCTCTTGCACACCCCCTACTGGGGACCTCACTCACAACCCAGGCATGTGCCCTGATGAGGAATCAAACTGGCAACCTTTTGGTTTGTAGGCTGGCACTAAGTCCACTGAGCTATACCAGCCAGGGCTGGTTTTTTTTTAATTTTTAAAAAAGATTTTATTGACTTATGTTTAGATAGAGGAGAAGGAGAAGAAGGGAGAGAGAGACATCGATGTGCAAGAGAAATATCCATTGGTTGCCTCTTGCCCATCCCCAACTGGGGACCCGGCTGGCAACTCAGGGTCATATGCCCTCCTCAGGAATCGAACCAGCGACCTTTCAGTCCTCAGGCCAGCACCCAACCCACTGAGCCACACCAGCCAGGGCTGTTTTTGTTTTTGTTTATGCCGGCAAAAGCAACAAAAGACAGACATAGCCCTAGCCGAGTGGCTCACTTGGTTGGAGCGTCATCCTATACATCAGAAAGGTTGTGGGTTCAATTCCTGGGGCCCCATCAGCACACATACCTAGGTTGTGGGTTTGATCTCCAGCTGGGGCGAGCACTGGAGTGACCAGTCAATGTTTCTCTCTCTCTCCACCCCCATCTCCAGAAATCAATAAACATATGCTCAGGTGAGAATTTTTTATTTTTTAAAAAGACAGATGTAAACAAATGGGCTTGGCTGTTTGCCAAAAAAAAAAAAAAATGTTTTTTATGGCATTGGTTTCTTCATCCATAAATGGGAAAAAGACGTACTCTGCATAGTCTTTGTGAGACCAACGTGAGAAAAGATGTCTTAGTAACTAACACTGCTGGCATCCTACCTCCAATATATACCACTCCATAGCTGTTAGCTCGCTACCTTCACTATACTGCTCCAGAGCCCACCTTCTCTGTTCCAGTAAAAATTTATAAGAATAGGTTTGGAACTCATTCACACTGAAAGGTAAAGCACTAGTAACTAAAAGTTACTAAGTTTGGAACCAGTCCAAGAAGCCAAACCACAGCCTCTGTAACAATCTGCCTCCAAGAGCCAGGACTTGATTGATAACCGACAGTTTCCTTAATTCTTGCCCATGTGGAAGGACCAACTGCAGAAAGCCAAAGATGTACCCCTAACCAATGACAGAGGATCCCCCGCTTCTAGTTAGCCTGCCCAACAGCCTCCCCAGGCCGACAGCCTCCAGTCCGGGGACATCTGAAACCTTTTCTCACAAGGAAGCTTTCTTGCTCCCTTGCCTGCCTTTGAGTCTCCGCCAAACATCAGCGATGGTAGCTCACTCCCTTGCTACACTAAACTCTGAGTGAATAGCTTTTGTTTGTTCTTGAAAGGAAGGAAGGAAAGAAGGTAGGAAGAGAGAGAAAGAAGGAAAACAGGTGGCAGGACAGATTTGCTGACCCCTGATCTAAAAGAACGGCGCTGGACTCACGCATGACAAGATCCCAGTCACCAATGGAACAAGACAAAAGCTGGGAGTGTTTATCGTATTTAACAGACACTTGTAGAGCACTCACTGTGTGCCGGATATTATTCTGATCACTCTACAATCATGGACTAATTCTCATTAAAATCCCAAGAGGTATGAACAAGTATCATGATCCTCATTTTATAGGTGGGTAAACTGCTCAGAGAGGTTAATGACTTTCCCAAGGACACACAGCAAATGAGCTGGGATTTGAATGCAGGGGACCTGCCCATGTCCCTTCTGTGCTTTGCTGTTGAGAAAGAAGAGTTTCGCCTGCACTGGGAGCATGACAGGGTCCCGTGTTCTGTCCCCAGTGCCTGGCCTTCGCAGGCCTTGGTCATAGCTACCAAGCAGACTAGGAATGGAGAACGAATAGCAGAGGTGCCTGTCCAGCCATTATGATGAAGACAGGGTCTGGGGGGCTTGCTCAGGCTCACCATGTCCTTTGTGCCCCCTGCAGGGGACCCGAAGGTGCCCGTTTTGTACCAGGTCGAGCGGACGCGGACGGGGGCGAGCTTCTCGGTGCGCTCTGTGAAGGCCGTGCAGCACGGCAGACCCATCTTCATCTGCCAGGCCTCCTTCCAGAAGACCCAGCCCAGCCCCATGCAGCACCAGTTCTCCATGCCCAAGGTGCCCCCCCCGGAAGAGCTGCTCAACTACGAGACCCTCATCAACCAGTGTTTAAGGTGAGAGACCCGGAGGCTTCAGAACAGTGTTCAGACTGCAGCCACCTGTTTGTGGGTCATGAAGTCCTTTTGGGCGTCTTGACCATTTAAAAATATAGACTAGGAAAGAAGATACTGGGGCGTAGTGTATGTAGGAAGGCTAATTCTTTTGTGAAAGTTTAGTTTCAGTTGTGTGTGTAGGCATGTGTGCATGCGTAAGTGTACGGGGTCATGATGGAAAATACAAGGCTTAGGATTCAGCCAGTTCAGGTACAACTTTACTGGTTGTTAAAATACTGAAATACTTCTATAAGTAGTTGGTAAATATTCACCTCCCTGCTTCCTGTGTGACCCCTCTCCTCCTTCAAGGTCACATGATCCAGCAGCCTAGGAGCTAATGCCTGGCAAGGTGAGGGTCCCTTCCTTCCAGCTGCAGAGAACCATGGGCCTGCTGCCTTGGCCTTAGTGCACATTAAATATTTTAAATATTTTATTTATTTATGAGTAGAAAGATGGGAAGGGAGAGAGACAGAGAGAGAGGCAGAGAAACGCTGATGTGTGAGAGATACACTGGCTGACTGCCTCCCACACTACCCGCAGCGGGTACGTGGCCCGTAACCCAGGCATGTGCCCCAACCGGGAATCGAACTGGTGACCCTGTGGTTTGCAGGCCGACATTCAAACTACTGAGCCACACCAGCCAGGGCATGTTACATATTTTAAACATCACCTGGTAAAATACATTTCTTACTTGGGTCATCATTGATAAAGCTGGGGAAATGCGAGGGCAAGTGAAAGAGCTCCGGGCTCCGACACAGCGCGGGCGCGTAGATGTCAGCCCGGGCGCGTAGATGTCAGCCCGGGCTGGGCCCTGTCAGCGCCCGTTCGCTCTGTGCCTTTGCCCAACGCCCAGCCTCTCGGAGCCTTTCTTCTTCATTAGAAAAATGTCTGTTTCCGCCCCGCCGACTTCACAGCTGCGTCAGAGGGAGGGTGTCTCTGTCCTGGCTGCCCGCTGGGGTGGCAGGGGGTGTGACGGGGCAGAGGTGGGCTTGAACCCAGGAGTGGTCTGGGTTCGAATGTAGACTCTGCCTCTGCTGGCTGTGTGAGTTTGGGCAAATTGCTTTCCCACTCTGAGCCTGTGCCCTCCGTTATAAAATGGTGCTAATCATAGTTCCTACCTCGTGGTAAGGCTTCAGTGAGGATTAAATGAGATAAGAGATAATAAGGCACTTAGTGAGTGTTCAGTAAATTGTAGTTATACCACTGTTGACTGAGAGGAGTAAGTTCAGAGCGTAGTTCGTGGTCGGAGCCCAAGAAGCGTTTGCTGACGTGGAAGGAGGACATGGCTCTTACAGGTCTCTAAATCTAGAGCTGTGCTGTCCAGTAAGAAAGCCACATAGGATTATATGTAACGTTCGATGGAACAGTTCTGTTCTTCAGTCACGCTAGCCACATGCCAGGCACTCTGGCCACATGGGGCTGGTGGCTACCACGGTGGACAGTGCAGATACAGAACACGGCATCAGCACAGAATGGACAGTGCCCGCGAGGACAGGGGTGAAGAGCGGAAATACGAGACACGAGTGTGCAGGAGGGGTGGCTGTGACCATGACGAAGGAGCTTCCCTGGAAATGGGCTCCTCTCCCTGAGGACCCAGTGTTTGCAATTGCTTGGAGTTAGGGAGCTCGGTCCAGTTGGGCAGCCTGGTTCCTGCGTGTTTGGAATAGCGAAGTGGTTAAGAGTGTGAACCATGGAGCCAGGCTGCCTGGGTCCAAACCCTAACTTCTTTACTTCCTGAGCAGGCTCCTCAGACTCTGTACTTATTTCATGATTCACTGGGGGCGTGGGGGGAGGAGGGTAATGGCGCCTGACTTACAGGGTTGTGAGGAATGAGTTACTGCAGGTGAAGTGCTTAGAACGGGGCCCACGGGAGGTGTGCCTCATGGCTATGGTATGTTCACTTTATATGCATTATCTTGTCTTCCCCACGATGTTTACTGTGAGGTAGGTCGCTATCATTATCCACATTTTGCAGATGGGAGAATAGGCTCAGAGAGATTACTAACTTGCACAAGGCCATTAGGCTCATGAGAAGCAAAGGGCTTCGAGAGCTTGACCCTCCTGCCTGCCAGAGGAGAGGAGTTTTCAGGCTCAGTCCCGCCACCCCGTGGAGGAATGAGGCGGGTAAGCAGCAGCAGTTCAAAAGACAGCCTCCCCCTCTTTCTGGGTCTTCCCCAGTCCTTCTCCCTTTTACTTTCAGGAACCATAACCTCCAAGAGAAGTACCAAGTTGGCCTGAACCGAATTGCTGCGCAAGATGTGCCCATTGAGATCAAGCCAGTAAACCCACACACCCTGAGCGAGCTGCAGAAGAAAGAGCCCAAAAACATGTTTTGGGTGCGAGCCCGGGGCTATATTGGTAAGAGGACCACCTAGACTGGAAGAAAACACTCTTGGGGGGTCTAGGCCTGCACCACATATGGCCTGTGTGGCCTTGGGCATGTTACTTCCCCTCTCTGGGCCCATTTCCTCATCTGAGTGATGGGGAAGTTGGCTTAGCTTCTCACCAGGGCCCTGTCAGACTTTTGCATGGGGAGAACGGGAGGCAACTGACTGTAATCCTAACATCGGCCCTTTCTGGGGAAGGCAAGGCACCTTGCAGAGATTCTTCTCCAGGTCCACTGCTACCCGTGTGGGAGACTTGGGGACTGAGGACTCTGTCCCCGCCTCCCTAGCCCCCATGACACGTACACCTTCAGCCCGGTGCCCTCACGCAGTGAACAATTTGCACGTCTGTGTACCGCAGCCCTTCTCCCCCGCCTCCCTGCAGGTCCTGAGCTGTAAAGCCCAGGAGCTCGGTGCTTATGGGGCTGGGACCTATTGCAGGGGAGGGCGACATCAAGATGCACTGCTGCGTGGCTGCCTATATCTCGGACTATGCCTTCCTGGGCACAGCATTTCTGCCCCACCAGTGGCAACATAAGGCGCACTTCATGGTCTCCTTGGACCACTCCATGTGGTTCCACGCCCCCTTCCGAGCTGACCACTGGATGCTCTATGAGTGCGAGAGCCCCTGGGCTGGTGAGTGTGGGGCCACATGGGTCAAAGGGCACGGGCCTTGGGGTGGCAGGGAGCCTGCTCGCCTATGGGGCACTGCACCGGTCACTCCCTCTCCTGTCCCCCTAGGCTTTGGCATCCTCGTCTTCAAAATGACAGGGTGAGGCTGGAGGACGGGACACCTGCTCAGCTCTTAGTTTCTGTAACATGCTGGGAGTATGATTCACTTTATCTCAGAGACCCGGTTCAAGGCCCAGAACCACTGCAGATTCTCCGTATGATCTTGGGCAAGTCCCATCTCCCCTCCGAGCCTCAATTTCCCATTTTAAATAAGAGTTGTGTTAGGGTAGTAGTATCCAAACCTGGTGGCCCATCAGATCACCACTTGGGGGAGCTTTTTCAAAATAGATTCTCAGATTCCAAGGTTCTGACTCAGCAGGTCTTGGAGGAGGTTCAGGAAACTATTTTTAAGAAGCTCCCTAAGTGATTCTGCTCATTAACCTGGTTGGGGCCGGGGGCGGAGCGGGGCGGGGCGGGGGGCGGGGCAGTCAACAGTCTCTAAGGGCCTCTCTGCTTGGACCTTCCTCATCAGACACGGAGAAACCCAGACTCATTCATCAGGTGTCTGGTGTCCAAGTCCTGGCGTCCTCTCCAAGGAAGTGCTTTTCAAATGAAGAAAAGCCTTGCTTTGTAAAATAGGGACAAAACTTAAGGGACTCTATCTTCAGGGAAGGGGGACTCTCTAGCACAAATGGCATCACAATACAGGATCAGCAACCTTGAAGTTAGGATACCTGGGGTGGGGTTTGGCCTGATTCTTAAAGCTAAGTTCTCTAAACTTCAGGCTCATCTGGAAAAAGGGACATCCAGCCTTGTTTCACTTGGCCACTGTGAGGACTAAGTGAGCTGTACTGTGTGAAGGGGAAGCCAGCCACTCCCTGCACAAGCACCAAACGCAGGCCCGAGGCGCGCAAGGGAGGGAAAACCTGCAGGTGGGGTGGGAGGGTGGCCGGACCTCAAGGCCTGAGGTCCACGCCCCTGAGCCCCTTTGTACCCTTAGGGGTGGAGTGGGGTGGGGCTGGGGCTGTTTTCCATGTGATACCAGCCTGGAGGGACTGGTTTGATTTATTATAAAGGGAATGGATGGGTTTCCTAACACAAGCAGCCAGAGGTGGGGTGAATCTACTTGGCCAAGGTAGTGACTGAGACTGTTCTCAGAAGGTCCCGCTCTGCGGTCTTTTTGAGGAAGCCAGAGGGTATGTGGAAGTGCTTTTAACCTGTCAAGCCTGGTTCCCCTGGGAGGACCACACTAGACTCGTAAGAGGACACTTGGAGCTTGGGGGTGACCACACCCTCAGTGTGCCCTTGTATGGGGCTGCCTGACCTGGACTGCACCCTTTTCAAGAAGCCTGCTTGGCTGTGCTGAAGGAGGCGGCTGTTCTTACCCTACCCGCCCGCAGGTGGCTCCCGGGGGCTGGTCCGTGGGCAGCTGTGGCGTCGGGACGGGGTCCTGGCTGTATCCTGTGCCCAGGAGGGCGTGATCCGAGTGAGGCACCGGGTCTTGGAGAGCAAGCTGTAGCCAGAGGTACTGGCTTGGCCTGGGACTTCGAGGATCCCCCTTCTCTCCCCACCTCCCCCCGACTCCTGAGGCAGGAGTTCCAGCCAAGGGCTGGGCCTGCTGTCCTTCACGTGCAATAAAGAGACTGAGACCACTGGAGCTGCTGGCCTTTAATTCCCCTGGGCCAGAACGGCAGCCCCCCTCAGCCACTGCCTCCAGGACTCCAGAGGCAGAGTCTCTGGCCAGGCTGCCTCACTGGCTCGGAGGCCCAAGGAAGAGGGAACCCTGACCCTGACCTGGGCACAGCCCCCAGCTGTTCATAAGCGAAGAGAGGGCATCAGACTTCCTCTCTGTACCATCTCAGGCATCCCCGGTCAAAGCTTTTCCTGAGCCGGGCTCAAGAGAAGAATCATGTGCCCTTGGTCTGCTACAAATTCTTTGTGGTACCTCCCGGGGTTCCCAGCACCCCTACAGCCTCCCAGCCACGGTTCAGGTCCCCATCTGTCCCCCACCCCGGCCATCCTGGGGCAGTGCCTCTCCCCAGGTGGCCTTCTGTCTAGGCAAGGTCAGTCCAGTACCTCCTTGATGAGCAATTCTTTGAGACTTGGGGGTGGCGTGGGAGTCAGGCCCGCCTCCTGCAGGGCCTGAAGCCGTGCCTCTGACTGGCGTTTGTCCAGGCCCAGGCGCCAAGAGAGCCGGACATAGGCCTCCAGAAAGGGTGCCAATAAAGGGTGGGGGCTCTTGTCCCCCAGCAGCTGCAGGGCTCTCTCACAGCACGCCCGGGCCTCCCCAGGGTCCTCCAGCTCCTGGTGGCACACAGCCAGCCCAGCCAGGGTCAGCAGAGGGCGATCTGGGCCGGAGTGGGCGTCCAGCTGGGCCTGCAGCTGCCAGGCATTGGCCCACAGTGCCAGGGCCTCGCGATAGAGGCCAGTGCAGGTGAGGCTCTGGGCCCGCCGCAGCTCGGGCAACACGAAGAAGTCCTGCAGGTCTGGAGCGTGGCGCAGCTCGGGGACTGCCTGCAGGTGGCTCAAAAACTGCTCGAAGGCCCGGCTGCGGCGGGCAATGGTTTCTGCAGTGAAGTTCCGGCGCAGGCGCTTACGGGGGAAGGAGATGGCAGCCATGGGGCCCCGGAACTGCCGCTGCAGGTTTCGGTGCAACCGCTCAAAGTCCGAGTAGCGGCGGGAGATCTGGGCTGGCTGGCGGTCTGGTGGCCCCGGCCCCATCACGGCGATGGTGTAGAGCTGCAGGGGGGGTAGGGGTCAGGGCAGGTGCGAGTCGTCTGTGGGCCCCCTCCCTCCCCACACCCACACTTCCAGCTCTGTTTCCCCACCTCTTCCCTTCACCCGTAAGACTGGGCCCAGGAAGGTGGGAGCTGTGGGGGCAGCAGCTGGGGAGCCCAGTCCATCTTACCTGAGGCTCGTCTGAAATGACCCAGGCCCAGGCAGCACAGGGAGAGAAAGACAGAGATGAGCTTCAGTGCCTGGAGCCGCTGCCCTTTTGCCCCTTCCAGAAAGTACTCCCTTATCACTCGGGCCATTAGCGCTTCTGACAGCCTCTCTGGAAAACCAGGGGTGAGCGGACACCCAGGCCAATCTCTTGGGCCTCTGAACCAACCTGTGGGAGCTTCGTTCGCCTCCAGCACAGAGCCCCCACATCCCTGGCCGGGTTGTTCCTGGAGGGCGGGTCTGTGGGCACCCCAGGTGCTATCGCTGTGAACAGCACGCCAGACTCGGACTCTGGCTCCAACCCCAGGTCAGCACACCCTCCCTGTGTGAGGTCAGGCAGGCGGCCCCCTTGAGTCTGCTTCCTTCTCTACTGAACGAAGCCTTGGCCCAGGCCAGTGTTTACTCAGGTGTGAGACGCGCACAAATGTTGGCCCCGAGACTTCTAAGCGGTATGTGCTGGAGTAAGTGACACTGAATCAGAGGCAGGGGGTGATCCCCCCCTCCCGCCCCCACTAATTCTCTTTGAATCTTTCTGACCTCAAATGTGAGAAGTTTAGGTTTTAAAAAAGCACTTCAACACTTCTCAGCTCCATTTTTAGAAACGAGCCAGAAAACAAATCTCGGGTCATGGCCTTCAGGCGACCGCATCCAGGCAGGGCTTAAGGGCACTTTCTTTTTCACTGCTTTTATTTTTGTGGGTGTCTTCTCTTTATGGCAAGTGAGGCTTTCCACATACAGTAGTCCTTTACAGTTGTCTTTTACACTTAAGGGAAAAAAAAAGGTTTCTTTAAAGCATGTTAAGCAGAGAATGGTACAGGTGGCATTCAGATGGGACAAGAGCTGTGAAGGTGATACTGAGTGACTGATGTTCAGGGGAAACACTGTGAAACTCTCCCCAGGTCTGAGGACCCACATAGGGATTAATCTAGAAGCGCGCTGAGCCAGCGGCTTTAAAGGGGGATTAGTGAGCATTAGATGTTCAAGGCAGGCTGACAGCAAACTCAGGTGTCTCTCCTGAATTTGTTCTGTGAAACTGCCCATGTTATAGCCACTGTGGCCAATTAGGTTTGCCGGCTCTATCCTCTTCTCGAAGGTTCACAGTGTACTTCAATATTAAGGATTAAAAGGTCAAACAGTAAAGAAACTTTATTTAACTCTTCAACTCTGCATTCCCCAACACACTGACTGCAAAATCTTTTTATTTTTCCTCTTAAAGCAACATTTATTAACATTCCAGGAAACCTATTTTCTTTAGAACACACTTTAGGAAGAACGGTCTTTAATGACCGTTAAGTTCGTCTGGCTTTTATTTTTTAATTTTTTGGCACCCAACCTTGTTACATGCATGATCTCACCTGATCCTTGCCATGTCCTGCCAAGATAGGTGATAATGGTAGGAGCTCCATTAACTGAGCCCCCGCGCGGCGCCTTGTGCTGCACCAAGCACTTCACAGCTACCGTCCCACTTATCACAACCGCACTGCACGGACGATGTCCTCACTCTGACAGCTGAGGAAGCTGGCCCAAAGGTTTCCAAGACGCCCCCTAAGTCACACAGCTGGGAAAGGGCCCAGCTGCGATTCAAACCCAGGCCAACCTGATCCTGAAGCCGGTGCCCTCACCCCCCACCCGGGGAAGTTCAGTTGGGATTTAGGGTCTGCCCTGGACAAAGGAGTTGATGGCCATCCTCCTTTATCTGGTCATTCTCCCACAGTCACGTCCAGATGTCCTTGTGTCCCAGCTGCTCCTTGATAACTGATCCTTGGGGTCCCCCTACCTGTGCATGATGCCTGGCCAGGCCTTTTGCCATTTAAGATCTGATGATCAGTCAATCCCTGCTCAAATTGATGCAGTCACCCCGTGGGTGTGGCCCTTGGTTACTAACAAACAGAGAGGGGTGATGAGGCCCAGGTGTGGGACAGGGCTCCAGGCCCCTGTCCTGCTGAGTCAGAAGTGGAGGAGGGCGGTGAAGAGGTGACGGGCAGGGCGCCGCTGCCGCCGCCGCCAGAGCTGGCCAGGTCAGGCTGGGTTTCAGGCCTGACCTGGAGCAGGACTCGCAGGCCTCGTTTTCCATGTCAGTTTCTCCTTTCCGCAGACGAGAGAACGGGACTCCCAGGCCCGCCCCCACATTGCTCTTCTCCCAATTCCCCCAAGCCCCTCAGCGAAGCCCTTCGGCCAAGAACAAGCTTATTCTGTACAGGACGGTTGCTCAAGAGTGGATTGACCTGGGTTGTAAGGAGGCCGTAACAGGCCCTAGGTGCCGGACGTTTTCAATCCAAAGCAAACAATGATAGAGCTACTTTTTATTTTATACATGTTCTGAAGCGCTTCATTAATGCCAGGCACAATGCTAAGGGTTTCCTGTGCACTGTCTCAGTTACCTCCTGTGACAATTCTCTGCATTATCCCCATGGCTCAGATGAGGAACGGTATCATCAAGCTTATACAACTCACCCAAAGTCGAACAACTGGGATTTAAATCAAGTGTTCATCCACAACCTTTTTTTTTTTTAAAGCACTAACCAATGCAACTTGGGTCTCAAGCCTGATCCAGATAAAATTCATTCCTATGTACCTTGCATCTTGCCGCATTTTCCAAAACCCTAGGGAGCGAGGTGAGTGGGGGCACCCACCCCAGTTCTCTTTTTTTCAAAACCAGGATAGGAGGCTTGTCCATAATGCTTTGTTTACTCTGCCTCAGAGAAGCTGTCATTTGCCTGAGGACTTCCGCAAGTTACAGCCCCTTTCTAGCCTCAGTTTTCCCATCTGTAAAATGGGGGCAGCCGTTTGTCACTACACGGCCAGCTCCCTTCCCCCCAGAAAGTTGTCATCTTCCCCTACTTTCTCTGAGCTGGATTTGCAGACTCACAGCCCAGGGGTTCCTGGACCCACACTCACCACGTACTTGGAGGGGGGTTCCTTGACCACGTTGGCGCTGGTCACCTCGAAAAGCAGCCGCTGGGGTACCAGGGTGTTCCGGGACTTCTTCCAGAAATCCTGCAGCTGCCGTGCCAGGAGCTGACTGCCCCGCTGTCCCTCAGTTGAGGGGTTCCGTTCTGCATGAGTAAACGACCAAGTCACATAAATAGGCCTGGGCCAGGGGCAACCATGTACCACGACCTCCTTCCAACAGCAGACACAGCTTTATCCCCATTTATCATAACTGGAAAGTGAAGTTCAGAGAGGGGCCAGACACCAAACACCGAGCTTGGCACACAGGCGCTAAGTAACCACCTCCACCCGCAAAGTATTCCTAGCACATCACCATTTGTATCCCAGACTATGTGCATTTAATGCCCCCAACAACCCTGAGAAGGGGGTGATGCCCCATTTGACACAATGGAAAACTTGGCTCAGAGAGGCGTTGTGACTCTTGAGGTCCCACAGCCAAGAGGTGGCCGGGACACAAAGAAGTATCGGAATTTCAGAGTTTAGACAAGACCAACTCAGAACCCCCGATGCTTTCGGGAATGCGGCTGAGATGGAGGCCTAATCGAGCCCCAGGGTTCCCGCCTCTGCCCGCCGTACTCGCCTGCGTCCTCTCCCGACGCCCCGTCCCCAGGGGGCAGCGGGTCGGGGCCGGCCTCCTCGTCGTCCTCATCGTCCTCGTCGTCCTCGTCCTCGGCGCTGTTGAAGCTAAGGGTGCCGCTGAGGCGGGAGGACAGGCCCTCGGCGTCGTCGTCCTCTAGCTCCGAGCTCTCCGGGAACTGCTCGCCTTCGGTGCCGGCCGCCGCCTCCCCGGGGCCGTCGCCGGCCAGGGCGTGCCGCAGCCGGTGCAGGAGCCGCGAGGCCATGGCACCCTAGGGGGAGCGCCGGACAGAGGGTCCTGGGCCGGGGCGGGAGTTAGACTCCGGCCCCCCGCGGAGGGGCGGGGCCCAGGCCTGGTGGGAGGGGCCCGAGGAGGACCTGCCCCTGCCCGTTGGGGTCCTGCGAGCCCCAGCACTGAGCTCGCTTCGTCCTCCCCTCACCCGCCCCTTTTAGGGCTGCGCACTTCCCCGGAGGCACCCGGGTCTCTCCCTACGTATGTTCTGCCCCCTGATGCGTCTCTACCTCCTGCGCCCCGCGGTGCACTCCGGGGCGCGCTGCTCCCCAGGGGTCCGAGTGCCCCCTCCAGCGGTTTACTGATGCTGGCGGGGCTCTGCCGGCCTCCGCCGGGCCCAGCTGCTACGCTCTCCGCTCCGGCCGTTTCCTGGCGCTGCCCCGCCCCCGGCCCCGCCCGCTCCCCGGAGCCGCCCGAGAATCCCGGGCCCTTCGCTCCAGGAGACTTGGAATCCTGGGTAGGCCTGAGCGAGCCCCAGGCCTCCTGCTGGATCGTCCCCCAAACCACGGGGCTCACCCTCCTTGAATCCTCCTGTCCCTCTCGGGGACCCAGGCTGGTCCCAATCAAGCCCCCAGTTTCCACCTCTTTAACTTTACAAAGTCCATTATTAGACAGTAGGGAAGCCCATTTCTCTGGTAAAAAAAAAAAAACCAAACAAAACTGAGGCCAAGACAAGACAAGTGATCTGGGCTGGAATCTGACCTTGCTGAGCCCAGGTTTTCTCTTATATAAAACAGGAGCAATTAATACTAGAACTAATTTTGTGACTCTTTGAAAGGAGGTAGTCCTGTGCCCGGCACAGAGCAGGAACTGACAAATGATCAGTTACATGATTATCCTTTCTCCAGTGTTCACAGGCTCTTACAATCTCCTGTGAGCCACACACCATAGGAAGTAGGCAAACGGAAAAGCTGAGATCCAGAGGCTGAGTTGGTTGCCCAAAGTCACACAGATTGCCAAGAGGCCTGAGTCTAGGGCCTCTCAGCCCAGGTCTCCTGAGTTGCATATCCTGTTCTTTTCCTGTAAAGCAAGCAGGGTGGTCTCAGCAACTCCCCTGGAGGACTTTTATCTTTCACCCAGAGGGCAGCAGGTCAGGAAGAGTTTATTGTTGCTTCCTGTCAGATATCAGTTCCTAGCAGGGCAGATATTGCTAGTTACACAATCAAACAAATAAAATCAAACAGTGGTCCCTACCTATTTTGAATGGCACAGGAGAGAGGGGTCAGGGGAAATAGATTTGAATGAAAACAACACTCCCTGCCCTCCCTATGTACAGAGGGGGCAAGGCTCTCATTTTCTGAGCCTTGTGTTCCATTGTGTTGTGCATCCTGTTTCAGGCGCTTTACATGAGGTCATATCTCACCTCACAACATCCCAGGGAAGAAGCTGTTACTGCACAATCATGTTCCATTTTCAAGATGAAGAAACTGAGGCAAATTGACTTCCCCAAAGTCCACAGCTAGGAAACAGGGAAGCTGGGATTTAAGGCCAAGTCTGTGTAATTTCAAAGCTCTAAGTAGTCTTCATTCAGCTTACCAGCAAGGGGTTGGGGCAGAAAAAAGCACACTCCATTTCATTTGTTCATTCATTCAATACTCACTCATTCATTAAACATTGGCTGAATATTAACTTGTACATATGGCTAAGCCTGGATACAAAGCAGATGTTCACAAAACCATGGGTTGTCAGAGCGGGAGGGTCACTCATATCTAGACTCGCACTTTCATTTCCCAGATGCTGGTCTGAGGCCTGGGGAGGGGCAGGGGCTTACTCTGGCTCCTACGAACAGGTCCAGAACAAAAAGATCTGCTGTCCTGTATTCTCCACTACTCTTGGCTCTGTGTTGATATCTTCTTACAGCCTCTGAGAGAATAGCCATCAAATTTTTGCTTGCATACATTCAGTAAAAGGAAGTCCATTATCTCCTGAAGTTGCTGTTCCCGTTATTGTTCAACTGTGATTCTCAGGAACTTCCTCCTTATACCAAACCAGGGGCCATTAGTCCAGTTATGCTTACAGAGAACACAATATTCACTGAACACTTGCTAAGTGACAAGTGCTGGGTGCTGGGAATGCAGAGGTGAACAGGAAACCGTCTCTGGCCTGCGGAACTCGGAGCAGGTGTGATGACTTGGCATGCTCAGAGCTGTGATGGAGGAAACTACTGGAGACCACCATGGGCTCCCTTGGCCTGGGTGTAGGCAGGGCAGGAAGGATGTTAAAGCTGAGAAAGATGACAGGGAAGTAGGCAAATGAAGAAAGGGAAGATGAGAATTCCTGGCAGGAAAACAAACAAACAAACAAACAAACAAACAAACCCCAGCTTGTGTAAAGGCCTGGAGGCTATAAAGGGTAATGTTTGGAGCTGTACCAGTATTTCAGCCTGAACAGAGCAGAGCAGCATGCAAGGCAGGGAGGGAAGGGGAGTAAACTTGGGGACCCTTACCTGTTTTCCTGAATGAGCGAAAGAACAAATTAATGAACAAATGATCGTTGAGAGTTCTGCACTCCCTGTTCCCAAAGGATCAAGTGGCTCCGACGTTTGTGTGCAAAGTGGAACCCCCTAGGTGTAGTCGCCCCTGGCCCTCTGCCTGGCTGGGGGAGGCCTTATTTAGCCTGGCCTGGCTCCACCAATCTTTCCTTGGGAATGTCTATATATAGGGGGAGAGGGTGGCCCAGTTGCCACTGTCTATCTGCCGTCCTTGGTGTCCAGCCCCCTTTCACTGGCCGGCTGTGTCAGCGCTCTTTCTGCTTGACCGTGAGCATTGTCTGCCCCCCAACACCCAGCCTGGACCCTGTGGATTCCCTGGCAGGCCTCCCTTTGGGCTTGTTCTACCCACCCCTTCACTTCCCAGGTGGCCAACTGAGAACCTCCAGGCCTCTTCACTGAGCTCTAGCAAGGGGCTGTCTACTCCATCACCTACTTAGAGAAACTTTTCCCACGCCCCCTCCAGTCCCCCCAAAATCCTTTCCCTGGAGAAGGTAAACTGGAGAGAAGAATTTGCTTTCAACCTTGACTTCCCCTCCAAGCGCACACCCTATTTCCTGAACGCCGGCATATATTTCTCCCTCTGGACGATTCCCCCAAGGGCGGTCTGTCCCAACTTCCCCTCAGTCAGGATTAATAAGAATAACCAACATGACTATAGACCTTTCTGGTTTACAAAGCTCTCCAGAAAAAAAGGAATGGTAATTGTTGCCACCTCCTAGGACAAGTACTGGAGGAGAGCATATGGTTAAAATTCTTAGCACAGTGTGTGGGGCATTGTAGAGGTTTGGTAGCTGTTGCTGGCCCTTTCCCCACCTCCTGCCCACTGCCCCTGACCATGGTTCAAAGACAGGACGTTCCACGTGTCAAGCACCAACCCTATGGAACTGGCACAAGCTAGGAGATTTCTGCTGGGGCTCCCGTATGCCACGGTCTCTCTGTGAAGGACCATCCCCATGTCATGGGGAAGGCAACTGAAGCTCAGGGTGGCATTGCCACCCATCCAAGGTTACATGTGGGTCTTGGGCTTGAGACTTCAAGGCCTGTGCTCTCCTCCTTCCACCGTGTGCCCTCACTTTTCTCTTCTGATTGTCCTTACCAGTCTTGGAGCTCGTGAGCTTCCAAGCTAGGGGAGGTCACTAAGGCGGTGGAGCAGGGCGGGTTCTCCTCACAAGAATCTAGGACGTCAAGGCTGCCACCTGCTTTGAGTCTTCAATTTCTCTGCAAGGGCCCTTGGCTAAATTAGGTAATGGGCTAGGAGGCTGGGAGGAAGGGGGGCTCGCTGACCCCAGGATCTGATTGGCCAGGGCGTCCAGTTCTGGGGAGTAGGGATGTGGGAGGAGAGAGTGCCCCTACAAATCTCAGGGGCTGGAGCAGGCCAGAACATCTTCGGGAAGTGGAGTGCAGAGGAGGTGGCCCACAGCAGAGGAGTCCCTGTGACTAGCAACCATGGTAAGGACCAGAAGGGACTTCATCCCTTTGCTCGCCGGAGTACTTCGGGCCTCTGTCAGGTCAGGTCTGGGTGCTCTGTGGGGCAGTAACTTGGATGTTTGAAGATGGAAGACGATGGTTTCCGAAACCCAAGAGGAACCTGGGAAGAAAGCCTTGGACTTCTCTTGGAAGGGCAGGGCTGGGATGTTCCAGGCATTGATCCTGAAGGCCTGCCGATCCCCTGCAGCCCCTCTGAGACTTCCAGTGAGGGGGCTCTCGGCTTGTGTCTACCTTAGCTTGGTAGCGATGGGGATCCTGAAGGCCAGAGGCAGTCACCGGCAAACCGGCTGGAAGCCTGGCCCAACCCTCCCGCGGCCGGTGAGAGAAGAACGGCTCTTCTGGGAGATGGGAGGCCTGCGGGGCCTCGAGCCAGCTCAGGTGCAGGACCCCAAGAGATCCAACGGTGATGAGGCGGGGCAGAAGATGCCAGACCAGAGTCAGTGAGACCTCGGCCTCCCCGACAGGGCATCTGATTTGGAACTACCATCTTCCTCTGAGATCCCCCTCCCCGCTGCACTTCAAGGAGTAACTAAACCCTGGAGGCCAGCTGTCGTCGCCCTTGCCAGACTAAAATTAGCCTGCCCTCCTGGCACGGGCAAGGAGGAGAGAAGGAGGGCGGGGGGCGAGGAGGAGGGCCCGCAGCCAGCCAGCTAGGAACTCCTCGGACGCCTCAGCCCTCCCTTGCCACCAGCTGCACCCAGAGCCCCCTGCCCAGATACGACCAGAAATTCCTGCAGAAACCGTATTTTCACTTCCTTAAGGCTGCTGTCACATTCTGCCTGGCAAGAGTGGCATTTGCTCCAGTGACTGCACCATCTCCGCAATTTCCTGGAGGGGAGGGATGACGTGTCTGACTCTGTGGGGCGGTCCCAGCGCCCAGTCTATGGCCTGACACTTAGTAGGTGCTCAGTAACTTGGTGTCGCATTATTTATTTGAGAACATTTTTATTGAGCACCTAGTAAAGTGCTAGGCACTGCTAGGAGCACGGGAAAGTGGGAAAATCATGCTGGAATGGTGTCCACTTGACAAATTCCTTTCACAATTCTGATTTCATTTCATCTCTGAAAAGCTGCTGAGAAGAGGGGATGAGGGACATTAAGCAGTTTGCCTAAGGTTACTGGGGGGTTCCTGATTTGACCTTTGATTGACAAGTGAGGAGGCCTTGGGCATAATCTGTTTCTTCCCTAGCTCTCCCAGACAAGGTGGGGGCTGTGGGATTGGGCAGGAGCCGTGGCTAGTTTGGAGCTGTCCTCCTGGGGGACCAAGGGGCGCTCACAGAGGTGCAGGGTGAGGAGAGCAAAGTTAAGGCAAGAGTGCGCCTCGCCGCTGCCCCTTTTGCCCTCTGACGCCGTGTCTTCCGCAGACGGACCAGCAGGCAGAGGCCCGGTCCTACCTCAGCGAGGAGATGATCGCTGGTGAGTGGCCGTGTGCAGGCTGGCTGTTGGGTGGCGTGTGCTGGGGATGTCTGGTGCCCAGGTAGCGGCGGAGGGCAGTGGATGTGAGGCCGACAGTCCAGCCAGGCTCACCTCAGCCCTCTGCCTTCTCCTCGCAGAGTTCAAGGCCGCCTTTGACATGTTTGACGCTGATGGCGGCGGGGACATCAGCGTCAAGGAGTTGGGCACGGTGATGAGGATGCTGGGCCAAACGCCCACCAAAGAGGAGCTGGACGCCATCATCGAGGAGGTGGACGAAGACGGTGAGCGGGTAGCCCTCCGAGGCAGGGCTGGGGTGGGGTGGGGAGGGGAGAGGCGAGCACCCAGGCAGCCGGACTCCGCCTCGCTCACCGCCTGTTCCCCGCAGGCAGCGGCACCATCGACTTCGAGGAGTTCTTGGTCATGATGGTGCGCCAGATGAAAGAGGACGCGAAGGGGAAGAGCGAGGAGGAGCTGGCCGAGTGCTTCCGCATCTTTGACAGGTGCTTTGGGGGCCTGGGAGCCGAGGCAAGGCGGAACGGTCCGAGCCGGGCCAGCAGGGCACGAAGGTCCTCGGGGTGAGGGTCCAGGAGGGGGCGTCAAGCGCGGCGAGCCCCTGCCCGCCCTGAGCCCCGCTGTCCCTCCGCCCCAAGGAACGCAGACGGCTACATCGACGCGGAGGAGCTGGCTGAGATCTTCAGGGCCTCTGGGGAGCACGTGACAGACGAGGAGATCGAATCCCTGATGAAAGACGGGGACAAGAACAACGACGGCCGCATTGACTTCGACGGTGAGGGCCGCGGAAGCGCGGGGAGCCGGGGACCGAGCCGCGCGGGAGCCTGCGGGGCGGGGCGCCAGTGCAGCCGTTTCCCACGCGGGTGCCCAGCCTAAGGGCGGGACTGGGCGTAGCCCGACCAAGTTCCCCCTGCTGCCGGGCAGGCAGCCCCGGACGGTTTTGAGCAATTTATCACTAAATGTGAAGGCACGCCCTCGGTGTGGTCGGATCCCTGGCCGGGCCTCGTTCGCCCCCGGACACTGCACCCCTGGCGCAGGCTCCGCGTCCCGAGGGGACCCCTGACCGCCTGCTCCTTTGTCCCGCAGAGTTCCTGAAGATGATGGAGGGTGTGCAGTAAGAAGTCCACCCGAGCCTCCACCCAGACCGCGCCGCGCTCGGGCGTGGGGCCCCCGCCCCGCCCGGTGTCATTCCCCGCCCGGGAGGGTAGCGCGGCCCCTTCTGGGATCCCCTTCTAGAAGGAATAAAAACAAACGTTGCAAAGCGCTTGGCCTGAGTGAGGGGAGGATCGAGGAGCGGGTGTTAGAAGAGATGGGCCGCCGTGCAGGGCGCCACCCGGGCGCCCTCCGTCTGCGGGTGCGGAAGGTCGCAGGAGCCGAGCGCAGGGCCGCGCTGGGCGCCCTCGGCAGGTTCGTGCCCGGCCACCCACAGCTGTGCTGGGCGTGGACAGCTCGGCGGACCGGTTGCGGTGGCGCCTGGCGCTGCAGGAGGGAGGCCGCAGGGGTTTCGATCTGAGTCAGGATGAGCCGCAGGCCCGCGGACGGTGCGGGGGACTTGGGGTAGAGTGAAGGAGCCGCAGGAGGCTGGGCCTGGGGAAGGGAGGTGAAGATTTTTCCCCCCACTGTCCCTCGTTTCTGGAGCCTTTGGGTCTTGGGCGCAGGCTACCGGGTTGACGATGGGGGAGTGGGTGCCCATCCACCCCAGGCACCATTATTTCCCTTGACCTTTTCCACTTCCTCTGTTATGAGCGGATTGTACGCCTCCTGCAGGCAATGGTATGGGAGGGTGGGGGCACTCAGCCAGGAGGAAGGTTCTGACCTCATCGTCTCCATCCCGGATCCCTGCCTCTGCCTGGCCTCCTTGACTTCAGCCCCCTCTAACGCCATGGGCAGGATCTAGCTAAAAGGAAATCTGGCCTGGCCACTCCCCTGCTGAAAGTCTTTCAAGGCTCCCGGTTGCATCTAGAAGCAAATCCAAATTCCTTCCCCTTGTGGGCTCCATCCACACCGGGCAATTTATCATTCTTGCTAGGAACAGTGGGGATGCACTTCAGCCTTGGGGCCTTTGCACATTCTGTTCTCCCTCCCTGAATGCCTTTCCTCCCTTGATAAGCCTGGAAAATTCTTCAGCCCAGCTGCGATACCATCTCAAACATACCAAGACCCAGCTGAGATACCATCGTCTCCTCCCCTGAAACCTGCCTCATTGGCTGCAGGCTGGCTTCCCCAGCCCTTTGCACACAACCCAATTACCCCAGGCGGGGTCAAAGCTAATTACGTAGTTAGTTCAGCTCTCGTCGGGCTACCTGAGTTTGAATCCTCTCTCCTGGTGAAACATTAAACCGCCCTGTGCTTCAGTTGCCTAATCTGTAAACTGGGGATAATGGTGGTACTTACGTCACAGGGTTGTGAGAAGAAGTCAATGTGTGCCAAGCGCTTAAAACAGAACCTGGCACATAGTTTCAGCGTTTAATATATGCCATTATAAACATCATTATTATCATTCTGAAACCCTGAACACCCCTGTTATTCACTGCTACAGCCCTCCCTCTCCAGCTCCTTTGTGTTCTTACCTCCCATTCATGTTTCCCAGCTTTTATTTCCACTCAGAATCAGTGCTGGGGGTTAGTAATCAGGCATTGTCTCATTCAGCCACACAACCCCGGAGGCGCATGACCTAATGATCTCCATTTCGTAGGTGAGAGGACGATGGTCTAGTGAGGCGAGGCACACAGGCACACAGCTAACAGCCTAGATGATGTCGCTCTGTGGTGGGAACAAGAACCAGGCCCTTACCTGTTGGCAGTTCTACCTGAATGTCCTGCCCTGAACTGATAAGCTCCCTACTCCTCCATCTTGCTCTCCCGTGTGCCCCTCATCGGGGATGGTACCCTGAGGGTGGAGCCCAGGTCAGGGGTTCTGGAGCCCACTTGCCACCTCTGATTCACTTGCAGTGCCCCGATGCGCTCTGTGTCCTTACGGTTTCAGCCCTCCTCTCGGTGCCCACTCAGCGCTGTAACTCAGGCCACCGCCCTGGCCATTGTGTCTGGGGCTGTTGATAACAGTAGTTACCGTCCTCCCGCCCTTTACTCTCCAGACAGACAGCAGCCAGAGGGATCTTTCTAAAACCAAATCTGATCACGTCGCTGCCCTGTTCAAGGCTTCATTAGCTGCCGGTTGCCCTCAGGAGAAAGGCCAAGCATCTTAATATGGCTTTACAAGCCCCCGGTGACCTGCCATCATTCCACCTCACCAGTCTTTATTCCTCTCCTTCTGCTCACCCTCCCGAACGTCTTGCTTTCCAAAGAGCGTGCTTTCTTATTCCAGCCTCATGGTCCAACCCGTCTTCAGAGGCTTTCCTGGACCCCCCAAGTCCTTGTTAGGTACCCCGCCTCTTAGCTTTCACAGCAACATGTGAGAGCTAAGTGCCCCACTAGTGCCCCACATTTATTGAGTGTTTGCTATGTGTCAAGCTAAGCTCCTTCACCTCCCACTTTACAAAGAGGTTAAGTCTAAATACCGAAGGATAGACAAGGAACGTGGAGATGGAGTGGGGATTCTAACACAGTTCTTCTGCCTGCCTGGTCAGAGCTCTTAACCCCCACTCACTCTGTATGACACTTTTTCTACCCTATTGATATGCCTGTCTCCCCTTTGAACCCCATCCTCTTTGAGCACAGGACTCTGTCCTTTTCCCTGCTTTATCCCCAAGCATAGGGCCTTTACCTTGTAGGCTCTCAACTACATCATGTGAACAGGAATAAAAAGAATCGTACCTTTTAAAACAATATTGCAGATAGTGTGTGGATGACGTGTCTGAGTGGTTAAGGCAATGGACTGCTAAAAAAGATCACAAATAGGATTTTTTTATTTGCCACCATTAAAAGTCTCAATTCTGAACAGCTTCTTGGGCTGGGAGCTTGTATCCATCAGCTCGATTTACCATGAAGCTCCATGAGTTTTCCAATTCAAACCTGGGCTTTTTCATTATTTTGACTTTTCTAACAAAGACATCATAGAGCAGGTGACTTGACTGGCAAGACTTTTCTATGTCTTTTCCAATGTTATCTGGAATCAATTTATCTACCACTTCTTTCAAATCATTTGTCTGCCCCTCTCGGGTCATGCTCTCCAACATCTTCTTTTGGATTTGGCGGACCCTTTGAGGCTGAGCGTAAGAGGCCTTCCTACTCTGATTGTTGCGTTTTTTTAGTAAAACCAACACAGAAGAGACGAAGCAAATAACCATTGGCACTCTTGACATTAGCACGAGCTTCAATCAATCACGGTCTGCCCTTTTTTGACCATGGAGCACATTTTGTCACAGGTAACATCCATGCCATGGATATTAGGCAGTTTTTTTGCCCTGGGTGCATGGCTCAGTGGATTGAGCACTGGCCTGCAAAGGTCACCGGTTCGATTCCTGGTCAGAGAATGTACCTGGGTTGCTGGCCGGGTCCCTGGTTGGGGGTTGGGGACTTGCAAAAGCCAACTGATCCATATTTCTCTTGCACATCCATGTTTCTTTCCTTCTCTTTCTCCCTCCCTTTCCTTCTCTCTAGAAATAAAAAAATAAAATCTGAAAGAAAGAAAGAAAGAAAGAAAGAAAGAAAGAAAGAAAGAAAAGGAATTAGGCAGTTTTTGCCCTGAACATCCTCAGTAATTCGTGTGAATTTTCTAAATGCAACATCATCATTCTTTAGATATGTTAGGTTCACTTCAAAAACAAACCACCAGATGCGATTTTGTTTCCTCGAGTTCTCATGACTAGTGTTGTCCCGATATTTTTTACATTGAACATAGCTGGGGCTTTCACATCACACCGATCTTACTTAGAAAATCAGTCAACCACATTCTTCTGGGGTCCCTCTTTGCTGCCTTTCGTAAGGTGCTTATTCTTGCTGATGCCATGGTGCTACTCAGAGAGCCCAAAGGGCATCATACCTTCTAATACTGTATGAGGCTTCCTGTTGCAAGTGCCAGAAACCTAATGAAACTGACTTACACCAAGAAGCAATTGACTTGTTGGTTCCTGTAACTGGGATGCCAAGGCATGAACTGGTGGCCAGAGTCCCAATGTCACCTCTCTCCATCTCTCAGCTATTTGCCTCCGCTTGGCTTTCTTCCCCCTGCAGCTGCCTCCGCGAGCAGCTCAGGCTGACTCCCTCCATTTTAGCCACCCTATTAGTGAAATAATTTCACTTGCTCCCAGTGATTAATTCCAGGGCACACTGATTGGTTCGGAACTTCAGTGTACGGCTGGGTTCCTGTGACTGACACAAGGTAGACAACGTGACCATCTGGGGGATCAAACACCAAAATCAAGAACCAGATGGGGACACTTCCCAAGACAGGCAAAAATACATCCACCTTGGCCAGCATTTATTAAGGACCAGCTTAGTGCCAGGTTCTGAGCTCTGCTCCTCTCAGACATCCTGCAACCCAGCATCTTGCAAGTTCAGGAGCATTAGGATCACCAGGAGAGACTGTTGGGGCCAAGAATTTTCATTTCTAACCAATTCCAGGTGATAACTGTGCAGTACCTGGGAACTGATGAGAAATGCAGAATCTCAGGCCCTACCCCGGACCAACTAAATCAAAATTTGCATTTGAACAAGGATTTAAGTGAATTTATAAGCACTTTAGATTGAGAAGCACAGCTCTAATCTCCAACGAGAGAGCTAAGTGCACAACTTTAGAGATAAGGAGACTGAAAAAGAACACCCAAGTTCTACCGGATCTGACAACTCCAGTTCTCACATGTGGCTGCTTGGTGGGGTACAGGCAGGAAAGGGGCCTGGGAGAGAGCAGAAGAAAAGGGGTGGGGGAGAACCTTCCTGATGGGCCCCCTGCTGTCTTTTCCCCTCTTTCCAAAGCCTGCCCAACCAGCTGCAGGCAGACCCCAAGTTAGGTGGAGAGGCTGAGACCTGGGCAGTGTTAGGGTGCACCCGGGTACTGTTTATCCAACGTGGAGATCCCTCCGCGGGACCTGGGCCGGGCCCATCACGGCAGCCTGCTCTTCCCTGTGCTGGGCCCTAGCTGGTCAGCACTGGGGTTTCCTCCCAGGGGCCGAAAGGCCAGGGCCTGTGGCAGGCCAGGGGAAGATGGCCTGGGGCCACTCTGTCAGCAGCTGGAGGAACTGCTGGAGGGGAAATGTGTCCCCTTGGTGCATGGGGCCATCTGTGGGGGGCCTGAGGCAAGGGGTGAGTTGAGAGCTCAGTCCAGAGGGAATGGGCTTTCCCTGGCTGTCTCTCTAGATCCTGGGCCTGCTGCAGGGTGACCTGACCCTTCTTTTTCAGGGCAAGACCACTTATTGTCAGGAGGTAGGTGGCTGGTCCTCTGCACCCCAGCCCCTAGACTGTGGTCTGGTTTAGCCTCATCTGCAACACGGCTGGGGCTGCTCCAGTGGAAGTTACTAACATTCCTGGAACATGTCACAACTCTAAAGAAACAGGCATCTGTGACACCCATTTTATAGACATGGAACAGATGTCAAGTCATAAGGTCATAGGGGAACAAAATCCTAGTCACTCCACTGCTTGGCCCTACGGCCTGGACATTTTGAAGGACAAGTGCTTCTTCCTGGAGATCTTAGGAGCCTGGCCCCGCCCCACCCGAGCACTTCTAGCTCTAGGGTAGTTGCAAGACAGCAACTTGTAAAAAACAAGACAAAACAACAACACACTAATATATATTTATTTAATATATTCATCACAGGGGTTCGACCAGAGACTTAATTTAAAAAACAGAAACAAAACAAAAATGACACCACAACTGAAGACAGAGAGTCATATACAGAAATCAAGGCAAGGACAGACCATCTAAGGAAGAAAAAAAAGACAGGACAAGGAGAGAGGCTGGCCAGCCCGGGTCAGGGTTCTTGGCTGGAGGCGTGCTTTGCGTAGGTTTCTTGCACGTACTTCTTAAAGGCTGGAAGAAAGAGGAAGGTCTTGGTGAGTGATGGGGACAGCAGTTAAGGCGGGCAAGAGGGCAGCAGGGATGCAAAGGCAGGCAGAGTTTGCAGGGCCGGGGCAGTTCCCAGAACAGATTCTTCCTCTGCTGCCCGCCAGTCAGGTCTCCTGGATGGGCTCTGCTTCCCTGAGACAGGTGAGGGGACTAGAGGGCCGTCGGGAGCATGTCATTTGCACAAGGCTTTGCCTTCTACTTAAAAAGCCCCTCAACCCACAGGGTTAATTTTCTTATTTTATATCAAACAGGCAAGCTGGAAACGTCCAGGCAGAGGTAGGACTGGCATGCCCCCTCGCTGCCCCCATCCCCCCTGCTTAGGACACATTCCTAAGTCTCAGCGAGCCTTTGAAGGTTGGGAAGGGATCACCCAATGTCGAGGAGGAGGGCTCACCAGTGGGGTTTTTCCAGAGCTCAGCAGCATGTGTGTTCAAGGGGCTATCGATGTTGGGTTCTATGGGTGAAGAGAACAAGAAAGGTCAAGGGTGTGGAAAGGCTGCCTGGAGGAGTCCAGACAGGTTCCCAGGTTGCAGGGGAGGGGCTAGCCTCAGCAGTCACCTCCTAGCAGGCTCTGGATGGACAGCAGGATGGTCCTGACGTCATACAGAGCAGACCACTTGTCCTTCAGGATGTCCAGGCAGATGTTACCCTGGGTGTCCACGTTGGGGTGGTAGCAGGGCGTGAGGAATTTCACTGTGGGCGCGTTGTATGGGTAGCCACTGGGGAACTCCAGGGAGAGCTTATACCTCAGGTCTTCGTATACCTGGCATCGGGGAAACAGAGGCAGGCAGCAAGCCTGTTACCCTGAACCTCATATCCCAGCCCAGCCCCCGCATAAGGGGCTTGCTAGGACCTTTGAGTTTTTTTGGGATTTGACAGAAGATAGTCTTACACCGGCTCTGGCACTTTCATATCTGGTTGGGGACATCAGGGATCCTTTTAAGGGTTGTAAAGTGGCACCCTGGGGGTTACCACAGCCATGCTTTCTAGTCTATTTAGACTTAGTTGCTAACATGTAAAAATTAGGAGAGTTTGGGCACAGATCTGGAGTTCTGACTTCTCTTACACCCAGATGTTCAGCAATGGGAAGCTGCCATTTTGAGACTTGTGAGCTCTCATCAGCCAAAGTTTCCACTTGTCCTCCATTCCTTTCCTTGCTCTCTGGCCCCCTGACGAATCTAAATGGACAGACCTGCTTTAAACCCACCCTCTTAACATACAAAAGGGGAGACCAGGGCCTCAGGCTCAGAGCACAGGGGAATGAATGTCTTGTCCACCTAAGGGTTGGAAGCAGAGCTGGCACTTGCGTTATTTCACCTTCCACCCCTCCCCAGCCCTAGCAAAACCACAGACATGCAGCCCAACCCTACACTTACTGTGCCGGCTGCTCCATGGATGGTCCCTATCCACTTGAAAAGGTTGTCTGATTCAGGAAAGGCCGAAATTCCTTTGTCACCAGACATCTGAGGAGGAAACGCAACACTCCTGGGCTGCTGAGAACACTCCTGGCCACAATGGCTGAACCCTCACCCTTTAAATTCCATCACATTCTGGTCCAAAATAAAGCAATCAGACCAGATTGATGGGCTTTTCTGAGGAAGTGGTTAGACTCCTGGGCCTGAACATGCCCTTCTGGGGAGGAGGTTTGGGATTATAAGGCTTTAGGGCCAGGGTAAGGAGGGCGGGGTTCGGTAGTGATTATGCTGGTTGCTGGGAATTCAATGAAACGTTCTATTGAGGGCCAGTCCTATACAGAGCCCAGGGACTGTTCACTAACTAGGGAGATACACAATATGGGCATTGAAGGACTCGAATGGGATATTCAGCGTTAATGTAGAAAAGATCATCTAGGCTGGGAGCATCACAAGGAATGACAAGACTAGAGATACTAAGGGTGGAGAGCCAGGCATGGCTAAAGCTTAAGGCAGGAAAATAGGACCAGGGAAGGCCTTGTATGGCTTCTGGAGGCTAACTGTATCTTAGACACAACTTCATTGTGGGGAGACGGGATTAGGAAAAGAGACTGCTGGAAGAAAAGGCATGGGTGGGGTAAGTGAACTTCGTCCCAGAAGAGGGCAAACTGGACTCATCATTTTACCCCCCTGTCCGATCATGATGTGGAAAGCAGGCTACTGTACTGATGAGTTAGTGCAAAAGTGGGAGGGTGGACCCCTGGCTGGGGAGCTGGGCAGGGACTCACTCACCATGAGCGTCATCAGCTCCTGCTGTAACCTGCAAAAAGACCATCCAGCGTCACCTGGGAGTCTGGGTGGGCCAGGGCTCCTGTTGGCCCAGTCTCCTCCCAGAGACAGTCTCTCTGAAGGAGCTGTCATGGAGGCTTACCCCTACCCTGAAGGGAGGCTGAGCTTGGCGGCCCACTCCCGTTTCCACACGAGGGTCCCAGTGAGTCCTCACTCTCCCTGCTTCCAGGCTCTTTCAGCATGGTTCTAGCGTGTTCCTAACCCCCACTGCTCCTCTGGCGTCTCTCCCCGGGCCAAATCTCAACATTTCTCTCCTTCGCTGTCCCCACCAAACTACCGAGGGTCTCCAGCGCTTCTTCATCATGGCTCACACGCGGCGGATCCTGGCAGCATTCCTACACCTTCCGTCCTCCTTCGGAAAGGTCTCCAAGAGTAGCCCGAGCTCCTAGAGTGTCCCCCCACCTCCCATATCTCAGCCGTTCCAGGAGGCGAGGGGGTCCCGGAAATCTTCGCTCTCGGGCCCACTGCCCGGGACCTGCCAGGCCCGGCCTGAGCCCATCACTCACCTCTTGCCCACGGGGCCCCGGGCAGCTCCCCCGCTGGGCTCGGCTCCTTTTCGAGTGGCGGTGACGCTGGCGGCGGCTGGGTCGCGGTTCTGGGAAGCCATCCGGGGAGCGCTGGCAAGGCTACAGGTACTCGGAGGACACCGCTGTAACTGCAGGGATGCGGGCCGTCTGCCCACGTTTGAATCGCAACCCTGAGAGACTGCTGACCAATCAGCGGCTCGCTTGGGTTTGATCCAGCCAATGGGGCGCGCCGGAGGGCTGTCACGGTGCAACCGCTGGACTCACGCACTAGCGCACCACTACCGCGGCGGGAATCCTGCTTCTGAGGGGCGATTGGCTGGAGGGACTGCCATTAAAATGACTCTGCAGTGGATTGGTGGCCTTTGGAAAGCCACCACCATTAAAGGGCTAAGAAAAAGTCCACGTGGGATGAGCCGCTGTAGGTTAAACGCCTGGCGACAGGCCAGGACCCTATTCCCGGGAAATGGGAGGGTCTTTAATCTTGCCCTGCAGCGCGGAGACCCTGAAACTGGAAACCTCTGCCTCTCCCCGTTATAGCGTCTGGGCCAATCGCGAGGGCAGAAACTTGAGGCTATGGCAGTCTTAGCCGTAGACTCCCTATTAGAAAGCAGGTTCATCTGCTACCTTAGCTCTAAATAATTTAGTGTTTTAACCTATAAAATGGGTTTTCTTCTGTGCTATCATCAACCCGCCCTGGTGCCACCCATTACATTTTGCTACTTCCATACCTTAGTTGGGTGAAGAAATAAGAAATAGCGAGACATGCCCCGACCAGTGTGGCTCGGTCTTGGGCGCCCGCAGGCAGAGCTAAAGGTCATCCCTTGGACTCCGGTCACATGCCTGGGTTGCTGGTTCTTCCGTGTCAGGGCGTGTACCAGAAGCAAATCTGTGGATGTTTCTCTCTCGCATCCATGTTTCTCTCCCTCTCTTTTCCCCTCCCTTCCCATCTCTCTAAACATAAATAAAATCTTAAAAAAAAATGTAAGGACAGAGAGGTGAGCAAGGTGTTCCCAGTTTCATCTCATAAAGCAAGATATATGTGCTGGGGCTGCAGGACCTTCCGGGGTCTAATGTGGGATGGGAGGGGGTAACTGGTCCCTTTTTTCCTCTACCCACTTCTTCTAGAGCCCTTGATGTTTCGTCAGCCCCCGCAAGGCAGAACACACAGCAGGCTCACCATCTGTGTTTATTACAAACTGTTTAATTGCTTCATATCCTAATAACTTTACAAATATAGAAGAACTACATGCCAGTCTGAGGGTGCTCTGTAGTGAGTTGCTACAGACTAGCTCAGACACAGATTAATGCTGCTATCACCCATCCAGGAGCAGTCTCGGCAATGGCCTCGGCCTTTGGGGTCACAGGGTCTTGAAGGAAGGCTGCCAAGTGTAGCCAGGGCACTTGGCTTCAGGTCTGTGAAGGTGCTTCAGTAGCACGATGCTCATTCTCTGTCCGCTGGGTCTCCATGTACTTTCGCATCTTCTCAACTATCCAGGAGGGTAGGACAAAGGATTTCAGCTCCTCCAACTTCAGGTCCAGGCATCCTCTGGCACAGGCATTGAGGAAAAAAGTTGAGGACAGAATGTAGGCCCACGCTCATCCTGGGGGCTACTGTAAGGCAGGGGAAGGGTAGGGGGACAGATCTACTGCATTTACCTGTAATCATCGCTGGCAGCGAGGTCCCGGATGTCCTCCTCAATGAGGAGGTAGGCCTGGGGCAGGAGGAGCAAAGAACAGTGATCATTAACTCTGATTCATTTCTGTCTAACTCAGCAACACTTTATTAAACAGTTGCTTAATATAAGGGCTATAAGGGAGATGGCACAGTTTGTAATTTAGAAGGGGAGAGTAAACAGGGGAGGCTGTCTGGGGACCAGTCCTCAAGACAATCCTTCACTTAAATAGAAACTTTATAGGTGAGCAAGTGGAAACTGGTGACCCTAACTTCCTCCTCTCCCCTTTTAAAAAGGACCCTGAGCCCTGGCTGGTGTGGCTCAGCGGACTGAGTGCCAGCCTGCAAACAGAAAGGTTGCAGGTTCGATTCCTGGTCAGGACACATGCCTGGGTTGGAGGCCAGGTCCCCAGTTGGGGGTGTGTGAGAGGCAACTGATTAATGTTTCTCTCCCTCCCTTCCCCTCCTTCTGAAAATAAGCAAATAAAGCATTAAAAAAAAAAGGACCCTGAGGTGCTTAGTGACAAAATTGCATAAGAGGTAGCAAAATACACATGGAAACGTCTGGAGGAAGCGATGCAAAACCCAGGAACCAAGGTTATTTGGTTTGGAACTTTGTGGCAGAAGGGAAAGCTGCCTCTGGTAAGTGGGCTGTCCTGTCTCGGGGCCTGTAAGGTGGCTCCGGCACAACGCCACGGCTGCTGCGGGAGAGCGCCGCCTCCTGACGCGCCCTGCCACGCGGATGGTGCTGTTCATCACATGAGGAAGTCAGTCTAGGGTCAGGAATAATTACTGTGTGTCCCTTGAGTAATGTGACTGTCTTCCTCTTAAGGGCACTGTGAACTTTGTAACAGACCAGGCGTTCTTGAGAGGGGCCTAGAGCTGAATTTGTGAAAACTCAGAAGTGCACTGGTCTCCCAGGTCAGCAATGAAAAAAACACACAGAAAAACTAGCTTTGCTCATGGCTTTTAGATCCTGTCTTTCCCTTCTCATTTCTTATTTATGTTATGTTGCATTATATGTATCAAGGGTAAGGTCCCTGAAATCCTTTTTGAAACAGGGTGTAGGTATAAATAGAGTATTAACATAAAAGATAGCTTTCAATACCAGAAAGGCGCTGGCGTACTGGTTTATGGAGCCATTAGATTCTTGGTGTATCGGGATAACGCTCTAACCAACTGAGCCACCTGGCCAGGGCCTGAGGCCACTGGATTCTAGCAGGAGGAGTTCCAGCCTTGGGACAGAATCCTGGGGGGCCGGTGGGGGAGGGGGACACTGCATGTGATACATACAATGGACAAAGCCCTGCCACGGTTTAGAACCCATGCAAGGATTTCCCTATGGTTGCGGCTAGATGTGGGCTGGAAACTCTCGAGGTGATTCCGGGAAGGCTGCCAGGCATGACAAACAAGTTTTACCCCTACTGACAAGGGCTGCTGCCTGGAGCGCTGTGTTGAGATTATTTTAACAGTGTCTGTTGGCAGAGTGTTGTGATCGAGGAGTGGAATCTGTCAATGGGCACAGGGATAAGTGATATTGAGTGTGTGTTGTACCTGCCATTATACGCAGCTAATAAAACCTAAATCTGAGGGATGAGGCGGAGGTGGGGAGCGGGCGCTGCGTGGGAGACCGAGGGAGAGTGGAGGGGATCCAGGGGTCATAGCCTGCTCTCAGCATGAAGGAACGGGCCCTCCCTGCCCTTACAAGCCCCCCTTTCTACATTCACCAGGCTTTGAGAGTCTCTCAGATTTGGAGGCAAGCCGCCACCGCTCACAGCCAGAACCCTGCCCCTCGCCTGGGTGGGTCTTCAGCAGTGGCCCGGGGAACAGGCTTACCATCTTCCCTCCTGTCGCCCGCATGTGATGTTGCTCAGCCAGCCAGTGCTTATCCTGCGGATCAGCTGCATACTGTGAGGGATGAAGTCAGAGGAGACATTTAGCCTGGTGGGAGGGGCTTTTCTCATTCCCAGAACACACTCTTGGCCTTTGGGCAGGTCTTATCAACAAGACCTTGTCCTAGCTGGGTGGATGCTGCAGGCTCGCTGACCCCTTCAGGGCAAGCGCAATGCAGCCCAGGCCGGGGGGTGACGCTGAATTTTCAGAGATTTAGTTCATAGCTAGTCCCCAACTCTCTCCTTTCTCAAAACACAGCATCTCTGGCAACGAGTTGGACCGGTGACTATTATTATAGAGCTCTACTCCTCTTTGAAATGACAATCTGAGGAAGCTTTCAACACATGGGACTATTATGCTCACCAGGTTTACTAAAACAAAAGTCAGGACACTTCACGCTCAGGGGGAGGAAGGAGAGCATCACAGTTAAGAACCTGATTTTGGAATTAGACAGAAATGTTTCAAGTCTGACTTCTGCTACTTATTGGACGGTGTAGGCCTGGGCAATGATTTCCATGAGACTCAGTTTCTTCATTTGTAAAACAGACAGTATTAATACTTACAGTGTAAGTAAGAATAAATAAAATGGTGTATAACAAGTGCTAAATAGAGTATCTGACACATGGTGAATGCTCAATAAAGGTAGGTTTCCGTTTTTAAAAAATATCCTCCCCAGAGGATATGTTGATTGACTTTAGAGACAGAGGAAGGTGTGGGGAGGGGGTGAGGAAGGAACATTGACGTGAGAGAGAAACACCGATTGGTTGCCTCTCCTATGCGCCCTGACCAGGGATTGAACCCGCAACCTCTTGGTGCACAGGATGATGCTACAACGAACTGAGCCACCAGGCGGTAACGGTGGATTTTATAAAATAGGCAGAACATTTGAAATAGAGACCAGGCTGGGAAATACGTATGGTTATGACCTTTGAACTTAAATAATTATTTCATTTCACATGTAATATAAATGTCAGTCAAAAATGTAAAAGTGTGCACTTTCTGACCCAGCAGACCCACTGCCAGGGATTTACCCTTCAGAATCACCCACGCATGTACACGGGCAAATTTTGTGTAGCATTATGATAGCAAAACGGTTGGAAAAAACAAATACCCATTAACAGCGAGTAATGAAATAAACTGTGGAATATTTATTCTATGAATTCGATATAGCTGCTAAAAATAAAATGAGGGAGACTTAATTTAATAACATGGACAAATCTTTAAGATATTATCCACTAAATCTATAGTGGCTAGCATACCTTTTCTGTAAAGGGCCAGTTAGTAAATATTTTAGGCTTTGCCAACCACGTATGAGAAACACATCTCTGTCACATACTATTCTCCATTTTTTAAACTCTCTCCCCTTTAAAAATGTAAAACCCTTCTGCCCTGGCCTGGTAGCTCAGTTGGTTAGTGTCCTCCTGAAACACCAAGGTTTGTGTGTTCGATCCCTGGTCAGGGCACATACGAGAATCAACCAATGAATGCATCAATAAGTCCAACAGCAAATCTATG